TGTTGGCCAGGATGGTCTCCATCTCTTGACCTTGTGATCTGCCCGCCTCGGCCTCCCAAAATGCTGGGATTACAGGCGTGAGCCACTGCGCCCAGCCGGCTGATGACTTTTTGTGGTGGTTATTATTAGTACTTCCACGAAGAGAATGGAATTAAAATTTCCTATGAAATTATCATACGTTCTAAAGTCATGTCACATGCAACGTGTATTTCGTAGCTTTCTTATTACCTCAAGGGTGGCTTTAGCTTAACTTTAAATTATAATTAGCATGCTGCTTATCCTGACACATTCTAACTATTAGGGCCTTAGGAGAACTCAGTATATATTTGGGCACATACCCGGTCAGGGACTCCTTTGTCCCTAGACTTAGATCAAGCCCAGTGCATTTAGAAGAAATGTAGGGATCAATTCAGGGAGTATTTAATTATTAGAATCATTCCAGAAAGGTACTAAAATCTATAACCTGTATGGTTCGTTGGAAATAAATCATTGAAGACTGAGGAGGAGTGATCTTGTAGTACAACTACCACATAAAATATAGAATGGCTACCTAAATTTGAATTCCAGATAAGCAATGAATAATCTTTCAGACATATATAACTATATCTATATAGAAAAATTATTCATTGCTTATGAGTGATATGGATATTCCAAATGTTACATGGTACATATATCCCTTAAAAGATACTCACTATCTGAAATTCAAATTCAGCCGGGTTTGCTCAATCTAGCAACCTTACCTTGTGGGAGAATGAGGGGGAATCTCAGAAATCCTGCATGTTTATATCAACTTATCCAGGCCTGAAGCTGTGCTAGCCTGATGGTGCCTGGAGGGCAGGTATATCAGTTACTACCCTTACTTTGAAGAGAAAGGATAGAATCTGTGAATGGTTGCTTGGTGCTGTTCCCTTTAACTTCAAAGGTTGAAATCTAAAAATTAGATTTCAAGAAAGAAACTAGATTTGACACTTTCGTACAATGTACTGTGGAAGGGAATTGTCTTTAAGATTGCCTTAATATGAGTTATTTTTTAAAATACTACTTCCTTTTTATGCCATTATAGGTTAAAGATGATAATCAGGAAATAGCCAGCATGGAAAGACAGTAAGTACCTTTATACGAGAACATTTTACATCCATTTCTCACTTTAAAAATTACATTCTAAAGGTACAAGAGTGGCTTTTACTCTTTCAATGTTGCTTATATCTTTAAATATTTCTTTGTTTAATTAAGAGCCATTCCATAATATAATTACTTTTAATAAATAGCTTTATTAAGATATACTTTATACCATATAATAGACATATTTAAAGTAAACAATTTAAAGCTTGTTAGTATATTCACAGAAGTGTGCAACCATCACCTCAATGATCTTTATATTTTAATTTTTATTTACTTTTATCTTTTTGAGACCAGCTCTCACTCTGCCGCCCAGACTGGAGTGCAGGTGGCATGATCTTAGCTCACTGTAACCTCAAAGTCCCGGGCTCAAGCGATTCTCCCATCTCAGCCTCCTGAGTAACTAGGACTACAGGCACACACCACCATATCTGGCTAATTTATTTTTATTTTTAGTAGAACTGAGATCTTGCTACATTGCCTGGGCTAGTCTCCAGCTCCTGACCTCAAGCGATCCTCCCATCTCAGCCCCCCAAAGAGCCGGAATTACAGGTTTGAGCCAGTATGCCAGGCCCCCAGTCGATTTTTGAACAATTCAGTCAGCTCAATAAAACCCTTACATCCTTTAACCATCACGCCCCTTATGCATCTCCTAGCTCTGGCCATGCCTGTTCTAGACATTTCATATAAATGGAATCATTCAAGAAGTGCTTCTGTGTGGCAGGATGCTTTCACTTAGCACAGTGTTTTCAAGGGTCTTCTGTGAGCCTTGCTTTATCGAAGATCAGATGTCGGTATTTGGCTTTATTTCTGGGTTCTCTATTCTGTTCCAAGGCTCATAGATGATCCTTGAAAACTAAGGCTAATGAAATATTATTTGGAAGTAAAAATTAATAAAATACCAAGCATGTATTAGTATTTTACTAATTTATCATGCTGCTGTGAACATCCATGTACAAGTTTTTATATGGACATATGTTTTCACTTGTATATATACACCTAGGAGTGGAATTGCTGACTCATGTGTTCTCTATGTTTAACTTTTGAAGAACTGCCAGACTGTTTTCCAAAACAGCTTTACCATTTTACATTTCATTTTTTTGTATTTGAATACATTTATTTGAAATTTTTAAAACAATCATTTTACTATCAGTCACCAGAAAGCATACCAATTATTATAATTTTATTTATTCATTTATTTTATTTTATTTTTTTGAGACAGAGTCCCAGTTTGTCACCCGGGCTGGAATGCAGTGGTGTAGTTTTGGCTCACTGCAACCTCTTCATCCTAGGTTCAAGGGGTTTTTGTGCCTCAGCCTCCTAAGTAGCTGGGACTACAGGCACATGCCACCATGCCCGGCCAAGATTGTTTAAATTTTAATCAACTAAGTTGTAAATTAATAAGTAGTCAATGACAGAATTGCCTTTTAATGTTTCTCATATCTATTGCAATGTTTTTGTTGCTGATTACAACTTTAGAAATTAAATTTTGGAATTACAATCTCTACTATGAGCTGAATTGCAGACCATGTTAAGTCTTTTGCAATACCAGCTAAGGTACTGAGAAACTAATGTTTTTGTTTTGTTTTGTTTTGTTTTTTTCTGTTAATTTGTAACTGTAAGCAAATTTCCATATTATTATGGCTAAGAGAAGATTTTTTTTTTTTTTGAGACAGAGTCTCACTCTGTCACCAGGCTGGAGTGCAGTGGCATGATCTCGGGTCACTGCAACCTCTGCCTCCCGGGTTCAAGTGATTCTCTTACCTCAGCCTCCCGAGTAGCGGGAATTACAGGCATGTACCAGGCATGTACCACCACACCCAGCTAATTTTTGGATTTTTGTAGAGATGGGGTTTCACCATGTTGGCCAGGAAGGTCTGAATCTCCTGATACCGTGATCCTCCCTCCACGGCCTCCCAAAGTGCTAGGATTACAGGTGTGAGCCACTGTGCCTGCCGAGATTTTTTTAAAGGAACATTTAGAACAGCTTTATTTTATCTTTTTAATCTCAATAGTTTTTGGAGAACAGATGGTATTTGGTTACATGGATAGTTTCTTTAGCAGTGATTTCTGAGATTTTGATGCATCCATCACCCAACCAGTGTCCACTCTACCCACTGTGTAGTCTTTTATCCCTCACCCCTCTCACTCTTCCCACCAAGTCCCCAGAGTCCATTGTGTCATTCTTATGCCTTTGCATCCTCATAGCTTAGCTCCCACTTACAAATGAGAACATACAATGTTTGGTTTTCCATTCCTGAGTTACTTCACTTAGAATAACTGTCTCCGATTCCATCTAGGTTGCTGTGAATGCCATTATTTTGTTCCTTTTTATGTCTGAGTAGTATAAATATATACACACACTCACACATACATACCACATTTTCTTTACCCACTTATGGATTGTTGGCCTTTTGGCTGTTTCCATATTTTTGCGATTACAAATGATGCTGCTATAAATATGCATGTGCAAGTGTCTTTTCATATGTTGACTTCTGTTTCCTCTGGGTAGATACCTACTAGTGGGATTGCTGGATCAAATGATAGATCTACTTTTAGTTCTTTAAGGAATCTCCATACTGTTTTCCATGGTGGTTGTACTACTTTATATTTCCACCAGCAATGTAAAAATGTTCCCTTTTCACCACATCCACACCAACATCTATTATTTTTTAATTTTTTAATTAATGGCCATTCTGTAGGAGTAAGGTGGTAATGCATTGTGGTTTTGGTTTGCATTTCCCTCATAATTGATGATGTTGAGCTTTTTTCCATTTGATTGTTGACCATTTGTATATCTTCTTTTTTTTTTGGAGACGAAGTCTTGCTCTCATCCCCTAGGCTGGAGTGCAGTGGTGCGATCTCGGCTCACTACAACCTCTGTCTCCTGGGCTGTAGTGATTCTCCTGCCTCCCCAGTAGCTGGGATTACAGGCACCTGCCACCACGCCTGGCTAGTTTTTGTATTTTTAGTAGAGACAGGGTTTCACCATGTTGGGGCCAGGCTGGTCTCAAACTCCTGATCTCAGGTGATCCACCCACCTCAGCCTCCCAAAGTGCTGGGATTACAGGCGTGAGCCCCATCACACCTGGTTGTATATTTCCTTTTGAGAATTGTCTATTCATGTCCTTAGCCTACGTTTCATTTTTTTACGGAATTTTTTTTTTTTTTGTCTTGCTTACTTGTTTGAGTTCATTGTAGATTCTGGATATTAGTCCTTTGTCAGATACATAGATGATGAATGTTTTCTCCCACTTTATGGGTTGTCTGTTAACTCTGCTGATTATTTCTTTTGCTGTACAGAAGTTTTTTAGTTTAATTAGGTCCCATCTATTTGTCTTTGTTTCTGTTGTGTTTGCTTTTAAATTCTTTCAGCTCATGAAGTCTCGATGTCTAGAAGGGTTTTTCTGATGTTACCTTCCAGAATTTGTATGGTTTCAGGTCTTAGATTTAAGTCTCTGATCCACGTTGAGTTGATTTTTGTGTAAGGTGAGAGATGAGGATCCAGTTTCATTTTTCTACATGTGGCTAGCCAATTATCCCAGCACCATTTGTTGGATATGGTGTCCTTTCCCCACTTTATGCTTTTGTTTGCTCTCTGTCAATATTTGACTTTATTTCTGGGTTCTCTGTTCTGTCCTATTGGTCCATGTACCTATTTTTATGCCGATACAATACTGTTTTGGTGACCGTATAGTCCTTATAGTATAGTTTGAAGTCAGGTAATGTGATCCCTCCAGATTTGTTCTTTTTGCTTAGTCTTGTTTTGGCCATGCAGGCTCATTTTTGATTCCATGTGAATTTTAGGATTGTTTTTTCTAGTTCTGTGAAGAATAATGATGTTGTCTTGATGGGAATTGTGTTGAATTTGTAGATTGCTTTTGGCAATGTGGTCATTTTCACAATATAGATTCTAGCCATCCATGAGCATTGAATATGTTTTCATTTGTTTGTATCATGTATTATTTCTTTCAGCAGTGTTTAGTTTTCCTTGTAGAGCTTTTTCACCTTCTTGGTTAGCCATATTCCTAAGTATTTTATTTTGCTTTTGCAGCTATTGTAAAAGGAATTGAGTTGTTGATTTCTTTGTCAGCTTGGTTGCTGTTGCTATATAGCAGTGCTACTGACTTGTATACATTGATTTTGTATCCTGAAACTTTACTGAATTCTCGTATCAAATCTAGGAGTTTTCTGGATGAATCTTTAGGGTGTCCTAGGTATATGATCATATCATCAGCAAACAGCGACAGTTTGACTTCCTCTTACCAACATCGATTCCCTTTATTCATTTCTATTTTCTGATTGCTCTGGCTAGGACATCTAGTACTGTGTTGAATAGAAGTGGTGACAGTGGCCATCCTTGTCTTGTTTCAGTTCTCAGGGGGAATGCTTTCAACTTTTCCCCATTCAGTATAATGTTGGCTGTGGGTTTGTCATATAAATAGCTTTATTACTTTAAGATATGTCTCTTCTGTGCTGATTTTGCAGAGGATTTTGATCATAAAAGGATGCCAGATTTTGTCAAAAGCTTTTTCTGCATCTATTGAGATGATCATTTTATTTTTGTTTTAATTCTGTTTATGTGGTGTGTCTTTGACCTGTGTATGTTAAAGCATCCCTGCATCTCTGCTGTAAAACTCGCTTGATCATGGTGGATTATCTTTTTGATATGCTGGTGAATGTGGTTAGCTAATTTTTTTTGGAGTATTTTTACCTCTAAATTCATCAGGGATATTAGTTGATACTTTTTTTGTTGTTATGTTCATTCTTGCTTTTGATATTAGGGTGCTACTAGCTTCATAGAATGATTTAGGGAGGATTCCCCCATTCTTTATCCTCAGGAATAGTTTCAGCAAGATCAGCAGCAGAGGCTGCCATAATCTTCCTCGAAACATAACTCCATTGGCCTGAAACCGCCCCTTTCATCATCCACATTGGCCACAGGCAGCCCCATCAAAGGAAACTCTGAGCTCTAATGTTCCTAACCCTGTCCCCACCTGATAGTCTTTCTTTACCTGCCCTTATAGTCAAAGACAAAAGACCTAAACTTGTAACAGCTCTGTGGCCCCACCCATCACCTGAGAAACACAAATATTTATTCAGGTGACCTTAGGGCAACCTTGTGTCCACCCATACCACTATAGCTGATGCCCTCTTGAAAGTGCCACCTCCTGGCTAGAGGCCAACCAATACAAATGATTACAGCAATTCATAACAGAACAATCCTGCCCCAAGGAAGGAGAAAACAACAGCTAATTCCACTGCCTGTAACATCCACACTAACCAGGGGTCCTGAGTCTGTTCACTTGACAGCTTCACTGTCAGCATAACCAGCCTTCAATAAAACCAGTGCACTAAACAAGACTACAACCAAGGACTCTCACAGAATCCACTTCACTCTTTAGCTATCTCCACCAGAGCAGGTGCTGGTGTTCACAGCTGAGACCCTGAAGACAGATCACATCACAGGACTCTTTGCAGACCCTCCCCAGTACAAACCCAAAGCCCAGTAGCTCTGGTGGGTGGCTAGACCCAGAAGAGCAATGACAATCACTGCAGTCTGGCTCTCAGGAGGCCCTATCCCTAGGGGAAGGGGGAGAACACCACATGAAGGAATCACCCCATGGAACAAAACAATCTGAACAGCAGCTCTTGAGTCCTAGATCTTTCTTCTGTCATAGTCTACCCAAATGAGAAGGAACCAGAAAAACAGTTCTGGTAATATGATAAAACAAGGTTCTATAACATTTCCAAAAGATCACATTAGCTCACCAGCAATGGAACCAAACCCATAAGAAATCTCTCAATTGACAGAAAATGAATTCAGAAGGTCAATTATTAAGTTAGTCAAGGATCCAGCAGAGAAAGGTGAAAACGAACTTAAATAAATTTAAAATACAGGATATGGATGAAAAAATTCTCTAGAGAAATGGGTAACATAAAAAAAGAATCACACTTCTGGAAATGAAAGACAAACTTAGAGAAATGCAACATGCAATGGAAAGTTTCAACAATAGAATCAAATAAGTAGAAGAAAGAACTTCAGAGCTCAAAGACAAGGCTTTTGAAATAACCCAATCCAACAGAGACAAAAAAAGAATTTTAAAAAAAAGCACAAAGCCTCCAAAAAGTTTGGGATTCTGTTAAATGGCCAAACCTAATAATAATTGGTATTCTTGAAGAAGCAGAGGAATCTATAAGTTTGGAAAATGTATTTGAGGGAATAATCAAGGGAAACTTCCCTAGCCTTCCTAGAGATGTAGACATCAAATACAAGAATGTCAAAGAACACTTGGGAAATGCATCACAAAAAGATCATTACCGAGGCACATAATCATAAGGTTATCTAAAGTCAAGACAAAGGAAAGAATCTTAAGAGCTGTGAGGCAAAAGCATCAGGTAACTTATAAAGGAAAACCTAACAGATTAATAGCAGATTTCTCAGCAGAAACCCTACAAGCTAGAAGAGATTGGGGTCCTATCTCTAGACTCCTTAAACAATATAATTATTAGCCAAGAATTTTGTATCCAGCAAAACTAAACTTAGTAAATGAAGCAAAGACAAAGTCATTTTCAGACAAATGCTAAGAGAATTCATTACTACCAAACCAGCACTACAACAACAGTTAAAAGGTGTTCTAAATCTTGAAACAAAACCTCAAAATACAGTGACGTAGAACCTCCTTAAAGCATAAATCTCCTAGGGCCTATAAAACAACACAGTGGAAATGAAAAGCCAAGGTATTCAGGCAATCATTAGCACAATGAATAGAATGGTAACCACACATTTCAGTACTACTGTTGAATATAAATGTCGCAAATGCTTCAGTTAAAAGATATAGAATAGCAGAACGGATAAGAGTTCACCAACCGAGTATCTGTGATCTTGAAGAGACTCACCTGGCATATAAGGCCTCATGTAAACTTAAGGTAAAAGGGTGGAAAAAGATATTCCATGCAAATGGTCACCAAAAGCAAGTAGGAGTAACTGGTTTTTTTTATATCAGACAAAACACAATTTAAAGCAACAACAATGAAAAAGACAAAGAGGGACATTATGTAATGATAAAAAGGACTAATCCCATGGGAAAATATCATAATACTAAATCTATATGCACCTAACACTAGAGCTCCCAAATGTTTTAAACAATTACCACCAGACATAACAAATGAGATAGACGGCAATACAATAATAGTGGGTGGCTTCAATACTCCATTAACAGCAGTAGACAGGTCATCAAGACAGAAAATCAACAAAGAAACAATGTATTTAAACTGTACCCTAGAACAAATAATATTTATAGAATATTCTACCCAACAACTGCAGAATATACATTCTGTTCATCAGCACATGGGACATTCTCCAAAACAGACCATATGACAGGCCACAAAATAAGTCTCAATAAATTTAAGAAAATCAAAATTATATCAAATATTCTCTCAGACTACAGTGGAATCAAATTGGAAATCAGCTGCAAAAGGAACCAACAAAGCCATGCAGATACATAGGAATTAAATAATTTGCTCCTTGAATGATCTTTAGGTCAACTATGAAATAAAGATGGAAATTTAAAAATTCTTTGAACTGAACAGTAATAGTGACACAACCTATCAGAACTTCTGGGATACAGCAAAAGCAGTGCTAAGAGGAACATTCGGAGCATTAAGTGCCTATGTCAAAAAGTCTGAAAGAACACAAATAGACAATCTAAGGTCACACCTAAAGGAACTAGAGAAACAAGCACAAACCAAACCCAAACTCACCAAAAAAAAGAGATAACAGATCAGAGCAGAACTCAATTAAATTGAAAACAAAAAAAATATGAAAGATAAATGAAGCAAAAAGCTGGTTCTTTTTAAAAGATAAACAAAATTGGTAGACCATTAGCAAGATTAATAAAAGAAAAGATCCAAATAAGCTCAATTGGAAACAAAATGGGAGATACTACAACCGATACCACGGAAGTACAAAAGATCATTCAAGCCTACCATGAACACCTTTACACACACAAACTAGAAAACTTAGAGGAGTTGAATAGATTCCTGGAAATAAGCAATCCTCCTAGATTAAAGTGGGAAGAAATAGAAACTCTGAACAGACCCATAACAAGCAGCGAGACTGAAATGGTTGTAAAAGGAATGCCAACAAAAAGTCCAGGATCAGATGGATCCACAGTTGAATTCTGTCAGATTTTCAAAGAATTTGTACTATTTTACATTTCTACCAGAAGTGTATGAGGGTTCCAGGTTTTTCACATCCTCACCTGTTATTATCTTTTTCTATTATAGCCATTCCTAATGGGTATGAAGCAGTGTCTCACTATGGTTTTGATTTGTATATGTTTGTTGGCTAATGGTGTTCAGCCTTCTTTCATATGCTTATTGGCCATATTCTTTGGGGAAAATATTTACTTAGTTCCTTTGCTCATTTTTTTAACTAGATATTTTTTTATTACTGAGTTGTAACTTTTTTTATATATTCTAGTTAGAGGTCTCATCAGATACACGATTTGTAAAAATTTCCCCTTGTTCTATGAGTTATCTTTTCATTTCCTTGTTGTTCTTGGAAGCATAAAAGTTTTCAATTTGATTATATCCAGTTTTTCTGTTTTTCTTTTGTTGCTTGTGCTTTTAGTGTCATATCTAAGAAACTACGGCCCAATCAAAGGTCATGAAGACTATGCCTATGTTTTCTTCTGAGAGTTTGGTAATTTAGTTCTTACATTTAGATGTTTGATCCATTTCAAGTTAATTATGTATATGATGTGAAGTAGGAGTCCAGTTTTATTTCTTAGCTTCTGGGTATGCACTTGTCCCAGCACCATTTGTTGAAAATACTTTTATTTCCCCATTTAATTATCTTAGCACCCTTGTCAAAAATCAGTTAACTGGAGATCTATGGTCTTATTCTGGACTCACAATTTTAGTCCATTGATATATATGTCTATCCGATGCTTATACCACATTGTTTTGTTATGGTAGCTTTATAGTAGGTTTAACTGCTTTATGTTAAAAGCAATCAAAAGCAGTTAAACTTACTAACTGCTTTATTTTAAAAGCAGTTAAACTTACTATAAGTTTAACTTAACATATAGGCCAGACGTGGTGACTCATGCCTGTAGTCACAGCACTTTGGGAGGCTGAGGTCGATGGATTATGAGGTCAGGAGTTCAAGACGAGCCTGGCCAAGACGGTGAAACCCCGTCTCTACTAAAAATACAAAAATGAGCTGGGCACGGTAGCAGGCGCCTGTAATCCCAGCTATTTGGGAGGCTGAGGCGGGAGAATCACTTGAACTCAGGTGGCAGAGGTTGTAGTGAGCCGAGATGGCACCACTGCACTCCAGCCTGGGCAATAGAGCAAGACTCTGTCTCAAAAAAAAAACTTGCCTATTCAAGGTAAAACTCAGTTTCTTCTGGATTAAAATATAGTCTCTTAAAAAAAAAAAAAAAAAAAAAAATTAACCCATATAATTTTCTGCCAGTGGTAGATTTTCCCTTATTTTCTAATTTTTGAGACTAATTTTCTAACTTGATTTGGCTTATAGACACCTACAAAAAGAATATTGTTAAATATTTTTCATTTTCTTAATACTACAAGCCAAACTTGAAGTTGGGAAGGGGTCTGCTGTTGAAGTCAGGTAATCTCGTGTTCTCAGAATATACTTGGGCTGCAAATATGAGTCATTAAAAAAGATCTGGATAAGATTCTATCTATCTAAATTTATAGTATTGTCCTCATAATAGGACATGCTATTTTTCAATATTTATGCAACTTGGAAAAGATATCCTAATATCATCAATTATAGTGTTGTCCTCAGAATAGGACTTTTTTTTGAATATTGTTTATGCAACTTGGAAGAGATGTCTAACCTCCTTAAGTGTTTTTATTGAATGTCTACATTTCCTTCATAAATTATTAAAATATTTTCAACAGGTTAACAGATATAAAAGAAAAGATGAATCAGTTTAATGAAGAAATTAGACAACTTGACATGGATTTGGAGGAACACCAAGGTAATGCTTCTGGGTATTTTTATAATGTAGATTAACAGATGCTTAGCAGTTTTGATATAGTATTATCGGTGTCTCAGAGACTGTTTAACTACCTGGGGTTTATTATTTAATTCTCTCTGATATTACTAACTTTAGCTACTAAAATGTATACTACATGAATAATATTACAGCAATGATTTAAGCTGACCACTTATGAGTTAAAATGATTGTGTAATAATTTATTTAGCTTTGCCAAGCATTTTTTTTTTACAAAAACAGAAGTAAAATGTTTAAAGTTTTAAAAGATTTCTTTTTTTTTTTTTGAGACGGAGTTTTGCTCTTGTTACCCAGGCTGGAGTGCAATGGCGCGATCTCGGCTCACCGCAACCTCCGCCTCCTGGGTTCAGGCAATTCTCCTGCCTCAGCCTCCTGAGTAGCTGGGATTACANATCTCGGCTCACCGCAACCTCCGCCTCCTGGGTTCAGGCAATTCTCCTGCCTCAGCCTCCTGAGTAGCTGGGATTACAGGCACGTGCCACCATGCCCAGCTGATTTTTTGTACTTTTAGTAGAGATGGGATTTCACCATGTTGACCAGGATGGTCTCGATCTCTTGACCTCATGATCCACCCGCCTCGGCCTCCCAAAGTGCTGGGATTACAGGTGTGAGCCACCGTGCCCAGCCGTTTTAATAGATTTCTAAGTCATACTTCCTTCTAAGGTGTACTTCCTTCCTAGTAATAGTTGTTTACTATAAATAATATAGTCAACTATTAATGGCAGTAACTAGTAGCCTTAGAGGGGATGAAAACCAAATAATAAATATTACAAATAATCCAGACAGAATTAATTCCCCATCCAGGCCTCATAATGAGGTAGCAAGCACTGATTAACCTGATCCTCCACAGCTTTCCCCAGGAGTGGAATTTGAAGAACCAGCAAAGGGACCAGAACACCTGAGGGAGCTTGGGGTTTGACTATGCAGAAATACTGTTGTGGGGGGTTTGGGCGTGCGGCTACATTGTAAAGGAGGAGGGTGAGCATCAGTTGCCTAACAGTCTTCCCCCTAATAAGAGAGAAAAGTAGATTTCCCATAGCACTTTAATCATAGTTTAACTGTAAACCAATTAATATGCTCTTGGATTATCAAGAATTGACTGTATATTCTTATGAGTTAGGTGTGGTGTAAACAGTGTGCACATGTACATGTATTCTTGTTATGGCTAAGGAAACATTCATAGCAGTGCAGTGGCTCAGTCACAGCTCACTGCAATTTCAGATTCTTGTATTCAAGTGATCCTCCTGTGTCAGCTTCCCGAGTAGCTAGGACTACTTATGTCTGCCACTACATCCAGCTAAACTTTAAATTTTTCATAGAGATGAAGTCTCACTATGTTGCTCAGGCTGGTCCCAAACTTCCGAGCTCAAGCAGTCCTCACACCTCAGCCTCCCAAGGTGCTGGGATTACAGGTGCAAGCCAGCACATCTGTCTGTCTATTCCTAAATTAATTAACTTCAATTTTCAAGGTGGTATATCAGTCTTATAGTTTTTCTTGATTTATGAATAATAGCATTAGCCACTACTGATTGATTACTTACCTAGCTAGGCACTTTTTAGTCTTGTAAGAACATTTTAAAGCCTTGTAAACCTATTTTATACATACTGAGGCTCAGAGAAGCTATATAATTTAGTCAGATTCCTCCAGCTAGTAAATAGTTAATTCTACATTTAAACCAAGGTCTCTCTGACTCCAAAGCTTTAGTTCTATTGCCAAAGCCTCAACTTGAATTTCTGATATGAAGAGCTGTATTTGTAAAATTAAAATATTCTTATGAAATACACAGTTTAATTTATACATGGCTGCTAGTAGCTTTAAATAAGGTATCTAAAGGCAGACAGACTTTAAGTCCCAGTATTGGATTAATAAACTTGCCCAAGCTTCAGTTTTCTCATCTGGAAAATGAATATAATTATTCTATTTTACTAAGATTTATTATTACTAAATGGCACACCAGGCGGGGTAGGCTAACAATAAATTGTTAAGACTAGATAGAGTCATATCATTTTCTTTTTTATAACATTTATTTTTATTGACAAATAAAAATTGTATATGTTTATTGTGTATAATATGATGCCTTGAAATATGTATACATTGTGGAATGCCTAAATTGGGCTAATTACTATATGCATTATTTCACTTATTTTTGGTGGTAAGAATGTTCAAAATTCACTCTCTTAATCTTCAAGAATAAACTATGTTATTGTTAACCATAGTCACCATGTTTTACAGTAGATCTCTTACCTAAGAGATCTATTTCTCCTATCTAAACAAAATTTTGTATTTTTAAATTGTATTATTTTCTTTATTAAATCATTTCATTGCTTTTAATTTATGTATATCTAGTTTCTAGATTTTCTGTATTAATATATTCAAAACTATTCTGAGAAATCTGATATTGTTCTTGATTTTAGATGCTTATAGGATACGCTCTAAAGAATTTTCCTTTTCCTAAATCTAAATTTCTAAAATTTAATTTTTTTCCACTAAAATAATACATTTTGAGGTAACGGTTTATTAATTGCTAGTTCTTTTTTTTTTTTTTTTT